AAAAATACAAGTAAAAAAATGATAAATCTTGCACAAAATCACAAAGAAAAAGACATCAGTTTACACGAGAAGAAAAGGCATTTTGTGTGACACAATTCCAGGGTACATGTGAAACTGTTGGTTCTACAGCCATTTCTCCTTCCTCTGTGCTGACAGACCTTCCATGTTGTCCATGTAAGCATATCATTTTCCACTATGGGGGAAGGTACAAATTAGTCTAAATCAATCAGCTATCTGTGTTCTGATGCCAATTGTTAATTGTTCTGAGATTGAGCCAAAGCCATTCATCTCCAAACCTACTGCAATCAAGTTGATTCTGACTCATAGGGACACTATATAGGGCTTCAAAGACTGCAAATCTTTAAAGAACTAGATAGCCTCATCTTGTCCTGTGAAGTGTCTGGTGGGTTTGAACCCCCAATCATTCCGTTAAGAATCCAATGCTTGCCTGGAAGGTGCCATCAAGGAACTAATGAGACTCATTTCTGATGTTCTATGGTGAGAGACTCGTTCACTCCTTCTCCCTCTTCTGTTCGCTCTCATTTCCTTCTCTTTCTCCTTCTCCACCTGCTGACTCTTGACAGAGATGAACAAGAAACATAAATCCCCAATTACTTTTGGTAGTGACCTTAAAACCTCTGGGGGAAACTGTCACAAGATCACAGGCCCAAGAAAAAGGAGAATTCCACTTCTTGATACCCTCCAGGCATTGTCCTTGCCCTGCCTGTGTTCGCACTAACTCCAGGGCAGGATAATCAGTTACCTCATTAGGAAAGCCATTCTGAAAAGGATTTTTATTTTTAATATAGCTGAACCCCTCAGCTGAGAGAAATACAGTATTCGGATGGACAGCAGAGAGGTAGGCCAATCTTCCTCTAGAGTTGGGGTGGGCATTGGAAAATTGGGAGATAGTGCAAGATTTCATGCACGCGAATTTGTGTTTTAGAAATATCCCTTTGTTGGAAGTGACAGACAAAAAAATATGTGGGAAAGATACTCTTGGGAAAATTCTTTCCAGCCCCATGTTTGGTTCAATCTGTCCTGTTAGATTTCCTAGTATATGCTAGGGAAAACAGGATCACTGGTGATCCGCTGTTAGCATTCTTGCCTCTCATGTGGTAGACCCAGCTCAATGATCTCCTGGGCAGTCACGACATGTTGGTCAATGGAAGCTCGTGGTGACTAAGCGCTTGAACAGGCTTCCGTAGAAGCTTCACATGAAAACAGTCAAGGAAGAAAGGCCTAGTGTTCTACTTTTGAAAGTCAGCCTGACCCACCGCTGATTTAGGGCATTTCTTTCATCAGGTTAATGTGTTATGTGTCTTAAAGAGCTTTTCCTTGGAAAACATCAGTTTGCTCTAAAATAGACCATTTAACAGAGAGCTTAGCAATAACGGTCATTCTGTCCCTATACTTGCTTGACGTGGAGAGTGCTCAGGAAGCACTTGTTTGATCTGTGCCCTCCGATGTTAGACTTCCCGCAAGCCCATGCCGTTTGCTCTCCTCAGTTCAGTCTCTTAATCACACTGCCCGGCAGAGAAGGAGGAAAGAGTCAATGCCGTCCTGCTGCTTTTCTTCCACGCTCCTCCCCAGTTCTCCTAGCAGGGAGCCAAGCCCTTTGTCAGCAGCAACCCAGATCTTCAACAGCCATGCAAAACCACAGTGTGATTTTGGGTTTTCCTCGTCTGTCTTTAAGAGTTCAGTCTGCATTTTATGTTTCTTTAAAAAAGATGCCTTCTCCATTTTTACTATTAGATACTTGTCTTCTTTCTCTCGTTTTTGGCCCAAGAAGTTTATTTATTTATTCATCTGTTTTTGTGAGAGTAGACCGGCAGCAGCTGTTCACTTCAGAGACTCAGAAAACCAAAATGATTATTTTCCCTGTTTACATAAGGAGACGTTGCACTTAAATGCAAAAGAGTCATGGTAGCAGAAGCATTGAGAACAACGCCCTGTCCAGAATAGAGGCAACACAATGTTTGTCCTTAACCCAGGGCCTTTATATATTGCACAATTGTGTTGGTGGGATATCTACTGGCAAATAGGGACCTAAATGGTTCCTTTAATGCAACTGAAATCGCTTGCCTGGAGACAGAAGAACACTCTGCTTATATACTTTTTGAAATCTATCTATATTTTATTCATCTTGGAAGAAGATTAAAGAATAGAATTATATTAGAACTGGTGGAGGCATGATCCATGCCCCCTTGATTATATTGAAACATTAAAATGTCATCAGCATGTTAATTTTGTCATCTCAACTGCACGAGATTTATTCAGCACTTCTATCTATTACATTACTCTGGAAACACAATTTATTCTGACTGTGGAAATGTCATAGGCAGCGACTAAAAACATCTGGAATTCTAAGTTTAGAAAGAATGCTTGGTTTCAATAATGCTATTTCTAAATTAATTTTATTTATGAAGAAGGCAAAATCAAGCATCTTAAAATTATTCAAATTGAAATGTTCAGTGGGCTCACTATTGTTAACTGTGGAGGCCAAACCTCAAAGGAGAAGTAAAACCTATTTGTGAATAAGAACTTTTTTTCTTGTTTGGAAAAATAAGATAACTATGTTAAAATTTAGGTAAATATAGTGACCTGCCTTTTTGTTTTTTTCCTTTTCATTATAGCAAGAAAAGCCTGTATGTGACACACTTAGAAAATAGAAGAAAAAACCAAAACAAACAAAAGAAAGCAAGTAACTAATCCCAGGACAAAACACACAGCACGGCTAGAACAGGGAGAGGTTACTTAGCTTTTATGTTTTGCCTTTTTCTTTATAAAGACTGAAAATAGAGTACATTTATTTGCTACGTTTGAGATGAAAATAATTCCCCTGATACAAACTTGTATATAGGACAGAAAATAAAGCAAATGTTGACTGACAATAATTCAGGGATTTTTTCCTCTGTCCTACTTAGGCTCACAAGCCCATATCTGAGATACTAAATCCTTAAAGCTATGAAAACTGAAAGATATGCCTATGTGTAGGGAAAATTGGATATAACTTAATGAAGACAGACTCTTCAGCTCATTTGCAGGGATATTCATAATTTCACCACAGAATTCTTAGTAAATCCCATTACAAGGTGCTGTTCCAGACCTTGTATGGGATGTTTTATAGTTTGTCCCCCAACTACTAAAAACTATCTGAGCAGTTCCATAATACATTTGGTGACACCGAGTTCAGATAGGGGACAGTGGGTCTATACTCAAATCTAGAGTCCCCTGCTAATACCCCCAAAACATACTATCTCTCACGTGTCTGGATCAACTTCAAAAGTCTACAGACTATCAGGCAATATTTAAACCACATCTGAAGACATACCTAAATGCAAGTGCAGGCTCCCTATTCTTTAAAATATTATCTTGGAAAATCTTACTGCCAATAAATAAACTTTATTCTTATTAGACACATGTAGCTGTGGCTTGCTTGAATTTTCTTTTTAACTTTTTTTACTTTCAGGAAAGCTTTAGTTTACAGAAAAGTTGCAAAGATTATACAGAGGACTCCACTATACATGTCACCCCATTTCCCTCATATTTCCTGCTAGCTTAAAGAAGCTAATATCACATGTTTCAATTACTGTCAAATTGGCTCAGACGCATGACAATGCAGGGGTGTGAGAGTAGAACTAAGGCTGCGGTCTTTGTTGAAAGCAGAGCTTCTCTTCAGACAGCAACGAAGTCTCTCTCTGGTCCTCAGTTTCTTAGTCACATGGTCCATTGCCCTCTACCTCCTTGGGCCAGGAAGCCTGCTTGACACTCTGCCTCATGGTCTGATAGGCCCAGCAGTGCAGCTCTCTGGCCTGTCTCAGCGTGACTTCTTCACTCTGTCTCCTGGTGTGGTAGTTACATTATCTATTGCCAATTTGAGACTTAAGAGTACAGGGGTGGAGTTTAGCCTGTCAATCTGGTCACAGCTTGATGACCACATTTGGAGGTGTTAAGGAGATAAATAGCTCATTTGAGGTGGGATATGGACACACTCTGCAAGACATTCCTGTCAACAAGACTTACAGAGCACCTCTAGAGCCCTGGAATGGAAGGAGCCACCTGGAGACCCCTGCCAGTGCTGAGATGCTTCCATTGCCACCGGACCCACAAGACTTTCCACCCACTGGCTGATGACCTTCCTCCATTTCCTGTCATTGTATGTGTTGCGTGAGTTGAAGAGGAATTTGTAGATTGGTATTGGGCATATGAGCTACTATCAGACTTATGGACTTGATCTGGAATGGCCTGGGATAGTTTCTCAATATTCAATTGCTCTTGTATAGAAAGCTCTTTCTTATACACATGTTAGTGTCTATCAATTTGTTTCTCGAGTCTACCCAGACTATTACACCTGGTCTCCATATAGTAGCCTCTACTGCTGCCACCATTTCAGACTAGTATCTTGTATGCTCCCCACCGGTGATTTTTCTTCCTTGATGGTTCCGGGATTTTCTCTTCTTGCTTCTGTGAAGACTTCCTGATACTCACAGTAATAGCAAAAGTGATCAACCCTCACGTTAGAGTACTCTTACTTTATTTGCCTGTTTCCACCTAATCATTTGGTGGCGGTTATAGAGAAATGGCTACCTGCTTGGTGAGGTAGGAGGTTATGTATTGGGCTGTTAACTGCAAGGTCAGTGGTTCGACCCCACCAGTTGCTCCAGGGGAGAAAGAGGAGACTTTCTGATCTCATAGAGATTTTCAGCCTTGCCGCCCACCGGTACAGATCTACTGCATCCTATAGGGTCACTGAGAGGTGGAAATGACTTGATGCCAATGAGTTTAGAATTTGAGATCGCTAGAGAAATAGACAAGAGACAAATTTAAGCAATTTTTCCCCCACCATACGGAGTACGGGATCCCCGGTGTTGTAGTGCTTTGGTCTGCTCACCTCAAGTTAGTTTGAAACTGCCAACTCTTCCACAGGAGAAAGCTTAGACTTACGCTTGGCGTACGGCGTCGCGCGCGCGGCTTGTTTGGGGACGGCGGCGGCGGGGCGGGACTCGGAGGACTATGCCGCGGGAAATCATCACCCTGCAGTTGGGCCAGTGTGGCAATCAGATTGGGTTCGAGTTCTGGAAACAGCTCTGCGCCGAGCATGGCATCAGCCCCGAGGGCATCGTGGAGGAGTTCGCCACTGAAGGCACAGACCGAAAAGACGTCTTTTTCTACCAGGCAGACGATGAACACTACATCCCCAGGGCGGTGCTGCTGGACCTGGAGCCCCGGGTGATCCACTCCATCCTCAACTCCCCCTATGCCAAGCTGTACAACCCGGAGAACATCTATCTGTCGGAGCATGGCGGCGGCGCGGGCAACAACTGGGCCAGCGGATTCTCCCAGGGGGAGAAGATCCACGAGGACATCTTTGACATCATAGACCGGGAGGCGGACGGCAGTGACAGTCTGGAGGTGGTGCTGGACAACACGGCCCTGAACCGCATCGCCACCGACCGCCTGCACATTCAGAACCCATCCTTCTCCCAGATCAACCAGCTGGTGTCCACCATCATGTCGGCCAGCACCACCACCCTGCGCTATCCCGGCTATATGAACAACGACCTCATCGGCCTCATCGCCTCGCTCATCCCCACACCGAGGCTGCACTTCCTCATGACCGGCTACACCCCCCTGACCACCGACCAGTCCGTGGCCAGTGTGAGGAAGACCACAGTCCTGGATGTCATGAGGCGGCTGTTGCAGCCCAAGAACGTGATGGTGTCCACAGGCCGGGACCGCCAGACCAACCACTGCTACATCGCCATCCTCAACATCATCCAGGGCGAGGTGGACCCCACCCAGGTAGGGGAGGCCCCTCCCAGGTCATTCTCTGCCTAACAACCCCACAGGGCCAGGGGAGAGGCTGCCCGCACCACTCCCTGGCCTGTGCCCACCCCAGGTGCACAAGAGCCTGCAGAGGATCCGGGAACGCAAGTTGGCCAACTTCATCCCCTGGGGCCCGGCCAGCATCCAGGTGGCCCTGTCTCGGAAGTCTCCTTACCTGCCCTCAGCCCACCGGGTCAGCGGGCTTATGATGGCCAACCACACCAGCATCTCCTCGCTCTTCGAGCGGACCTGCCGCCAGTACGACAAGCTGCGGAAGCGGGAGGCCTTCCTGGAGCAGTTCCGCAAGGAGGACATCTTCAAGGAGAACTTCGACGAGCTGGACACGTCCCGGGAGGTGGTGCAGGAGCTCATCGACGAGTACCACGCGGCCACGCGGCCGGACTACATCTCCTGCATTTTATTTTCTATTTTATTCTAAAACACAAACAAGACTTTGCAGAATTATGTCAACACAATTCCATGATGCATTTTGTCTCCAAATTCCTAAGAAGAAAGTCTTAATATTAGGCTTGAAACAGCTGACATTTGATCACAATTAACAGCACACAAAGAAAACTTCTTTTCATAGGTTTTTGGTTTAGTGAAACAAGCAATTACTACGTACAGGATTGTGAATTACAAAGTTTATAAAAGAGCTCTACGATTACTCAAATCTCAAAGGCCAATGAAGACTGTAGGAATTAAACAACAACGAAGGTTTGAAGAAGAACACTAGCGTATACACATGAAACAACTTGGACAATATTCTGATACTAAATTTTAATTGAGATGAAATTGAAAAACTATTTGAATTTCGTAAAGTTAAATCACAGTGCCACCAAAAATCTGTTACCTATTCTAAACAAAAGTTATTTAAAAACTTTCAGGTATTTTAAATTATCTGAATTTACTTTTTTTTTGGTCCAACATAAAAAGAACAACTTTACAGCAAAACTGTACTAGATAAGAAAAAAACATCTATGCAGGATACTACAAGTACTTCCTTTATTACAGAGTATATCAAGCACACAAATGTCCTTTCTAGAATTCTAGACCTTAGAAAAAATTGTTTCACTCAGACTAAGATATGTTATGAAAGAGGGAAAAAATATCAAAACTTCTGCCTTTGGGGAAATGTCCATGAATTTCTGAAAGAATGAAGAAATTAAACAGCTTTCCAAACCAAAACATTAGTGACCTGGTCATTTTAGGGGCCCTAATTCTTATTAAAAAAATTAAATTTAGGTTTCATTATTCCAGTTATATGGTACTATGTCATCCTTAAAAGATAAGTATTAGAACTTTTTAAATTTAATTTTTTGAGAACAATCATGAGGAGTGTACTTATGGTGGTCGGTTGGCAAAGGGTGAGAAATGCCAGAATCCGTCCGGGTACTAAGTGTGATCATAACGGGAGGTTTGAGAGAGACGGTGGAAAATAAGCTTTAGGTCCGAAATTCACTACCACAATTAACCTTAAACAAATTAACAAAACCCATGATTAGTAAAATCTGTTCACTTTGTAGGAGTAGCTCTAACATGATCATGGAATGGTGGAATATCTGGGCACACGCCTTCGCGACAAGGTTTACTTTAACAGATTCTGCAGCATGGCCGTGGCATAGGTGGGCCTTGCCTGCCTGCTCTCGATCGCATTCTGAAGATACTGGATTCCTCCACAGCGCTCCCAAATTTCTTCAAACTGTCTTGGCAAAATCTCGGCCCCGCGCTTCCGAGTGAGGCCTGTTTCTTCGAGACTGAGCTCGCACATCTCCATGTCATCCTTGCCAGCCACCAGAAGGATGGGTGGTTTGTCAGGATGGAGTTCCATTTGGTGGGCAATCCAAGGCCCATCAAACCCTCATGAGTTTCAGCTCAGATTCCCACAGGGGCATGTCTACCTTGTCCTGGAAACTCACTTTGAGTCAGAATTGACTTGATGGTAATGAGCTTGTTTTTGAGTTGTTTGAGTGGCTACTTCTAATATCCGTGACTACAAAGCACTTGCTATTTTCAACTTGGACTTCAACTCTCTGTCATTTTGAATAATCCTCAACCATCAGAATTTCTCTTCCTTCCTCGAAGCTCACAGATATGATTGCGAGTCTCTCTGTCACTATTTGCCAAGCTACACTCTCCTCAATTTCCTCAGGACTCGTGCCCCAAAGGAAAGTGGGAGGTTGGGACGAGAATACTGTAGAGTGTGGCAAGTTAGTGGGAGCCCAAAACAAACCACACACACTGCCATCTAGTTGATTCCAACTCATAGTGACTGCATAGGGCGCACTAAGAATTGACCCTTTGCGTTTCCAAGGCTATCAATATTTATAGAAGTAGAAAGATTCATCTTTATCCTATGTTATGGCTGGTGGGTTTGAACTGATCCAAATAGCAGCTCTAAGTGTAACCCATTACACAACCAAGGTTCCTTAAGTTAGTGAGAAGCACCCCCCCCCAAAAAAAAAAACACCCACCAAACTCACTGACAGTCAATTCCAACTCATGGTGATTATTCTTTATGGGAGTAGAAAGCCTTGTCTTTCTCCCACTGAGAAGCTGGTGGTTTTGAACTGCTGGTCTACAAGGGAGCAGACCAATGTATAACCACTGCACCACCAGGCCTCCTCAAGTTAGTGAGAAGTAGAAGTAGAGACTTTTCTTTTCTTTTCTTTTTGCCACTTCTGAGGGTGAAGGAATACAATTTTTCATTGCTTCTTATTCTGTTTATGCAAACAGGATCCATTAGCATTTACACGCAGTGTTTTTCTTCTCAGTGAAAAGAGAAAGCTTTAGAGGCTGCCTTTTTTATGTTCTCTCCTTTTATCTGGAGGAACACGCTGTAAAATACCCTTAGAAAACCACTTAAGAGGCTAAAAGGAAGAATGGCTGAGCGACTTGCATTTTTTAAACACAGTGGCTTTGTTTTATATGACTAAAGAGCTAGTGAAAACAGAACGGGAAAAATATGCTTAAATGCAGCTAGGAATGGTACTGGGGTAAGTAAATGAGCCTAGACTACAACTTATAGCTTACTCAAACCCTCTTTCACACGTAAAACTAAGATATCACCCTAGTGTGGGAGGACTCTTGGAAATTAAGAACTCTGTCTGATATATTCTGTGTCCTCAGTGTCTGAACAAGTGCTTGTACAAAGCATTCCCTGTAAAGTTCACCGAATGAATGCATAGGCACGTGAAAATGAACTTGTAACCAAGCATGATAATTTATAGATCTGTGCAACAACAACAAACCTTGATTAAACATCTCTCCGATTCTCTAAATGTCGTATTCATCACTATACATGTTCTTTTATAAATCCTCAAATTATTTCATATAAAAATATAAGATAACTATTTTCAGATTACTTGTGTACATAATGGTATTACAAGGATACACATTATATTAGCTCATTTGTTATTTATACCATAAAATTTGAAAATATTATTATGGTGTTTGCCAAAACATCCACTTGAAGTGTCTCCAATACAGATTTTATTATCTTCAGTATTGACTAAGCCAACATTGACCAAAATGGTTGTTCCTGATCTGCAAGTACCTTTGAAGCAACGTCCATCCTGTGACTCTGTCCTCTTTCAAATGTGGTTTCGAAAGATACCATGCAAAACAAACACGTGAATCAAATTTTCATGTTTTTACAGAAGTGTCTAAATTGTGACTTACATAAATCTTCTCACGTTACACTGCAAAACTGAGAAATGCTATTTTTCTAGGTATCTCCCGATTTGGGGAAGATCTAACTGTTCTATGCCACAACAGTCCAGTCTGTGGTAGTTACATAATCTTGTGTCAATCAGGTCACAGCCTGATGATGCATCCGGGCATTGGCCTTCTCATGAGGATTCTGGGAATTTTATCTTTTTCTACCTGGAAGTGGAATACATTCTCTGCCTTCCTCTTCCTGTGAATAAGCCATGTGGAGCTATGCTGGGACCTGAGCGAGCCAAGCAAGGGAAATCAGTGGAGACAGCTCTGTGATGCTTCCACTGCCATTGGATCCACAAGAGTTTTCACCCACCAGCCTGTGATCTTCCTGCATTCAACATTATTGCAAGTGGCAACATGAGTCTGAAGAGGGATTTATGGACTACTATCGGATATATGGGCTAACAATGGCCTTGTGGACTTGATGTGGGCTGAGCTGGGATGCTTTCTCAGTATACAATTGCTCTTTGATATAAAGGTCTCCCTTTCACTTACACGAGTGTCTCTGGGTTTGTTTCTCTAGTCAACATACGAGAGAACTAACAAACTAGTCCAGACTAACACACTCAAAATCCCTGCATCTATTATTTAAAACTGCTACTTGGTTCTTAAGCACATTAAATTAAACCTTTTTTTTTTTTTAACTCCATCCTCTATCCATAATGTTCTATTTATCCTCTCAGCTGCTCCCACCTTGACCTAGTCACTAGGTGTAGTGGTTCTTTAGCTCTTTCCTAGGACTTTCTTTCCCATTCCGCTCACATAATTTTATCAGCCACGTAACACTCTCTTCCTTCCCTCATAGCTCATATTTCTCTGTCATACCTGTCCTGCCAGTATTTTATAGTTGGCAATCCCATTATCTGCTTTTTTGACTTCCATTTCATATTGAAAGCAAAAGCAATGTATGTATTAGCATCATTACAAATCTCTTTTCAACTTAACTGAAGTTTTAATATTGTCTTACTGCCATTGATTGGTTACCTACCTTACTCTTTTATTTCCCATAGCAAATATTATAACATTTTACAATTCTAACCCTTTACTCCTCCTTTATCCTGGTTTACTTCAACATCAGAAATTTGGCTTGTCATAGGTTTAAAAAAAAGAGAAAATAATGAAATCAAATCAAGTTCTCCACATTCCTCTTCTCAACCAGTATATTTATTATATTTATATGAAACTGCTTTGCTGCTCATGGTTTTTCTCCTCACAATGCTTCTTCCTGGGTTTCATTCTTTAACTTTTCTTTGTTCTTTATCTGCCCTTTCTCCCTATGAACCAGTTCCTGATTCCACATGTTCTTTCTACAGAGGAACGTTTTGATTCATTCTTCAAAATGTATCTGAGATATCATCATCACCATCACAGGGCTAGTGAAGCCTTCATTGAAATGACCCAGTGAAGGTTTATCATTCCACATGTCCATATCAATATCAAGAGTGTGTCTCATGATCTTAGTTCTTATTAAGGTGAATTTCTTACATATCTCCCCTGGCTTCTGAGCTCAGTAGAGGCAGGGATCACATCGTAATCATCATTGTTCCAGATCCTCTGCTTTTCACAGTGTCTGTCACAAGAGTAAGTGCGCAATAGCTATTTTTAGAGTCACAAGATACTGAAAATTCACCTAAATTACCAAAGAAAGATTATATTATGATGACTCTATTTTAATGGCAAGAGTGTTGTATTTAATTTAGATTGTTTTAAAATTGA